AATTCGAGTTGCAACTAGAGTCACGGAATGGATTAAATTCGTAACTCAAGGTTCCACTGTACTCAGTTCCAGTCTGATTTAGACTCCAGCTGTGCAAATTCTTGGAGCTAACTGAGGCATGGCCTAGCGTGGTTACTTGGAAGAGTTAGAACTTGGTGGTCTTGAAAAAGTGAACAGGGTCCTTGTGACTGAAATGTGGCCACCTATGTATTAGACTCATTATCTCTCCTGGTTGATTAAGGTCTCCCAGGAGATGATGTATAGCTGGATCCAGGTGGTGGTAAATATTTCCTTGAGGGATGGAGTGGTTCCTCCAGTTCTTAAAGACTGATGGTCTGCCCCTTCTCAAGAAACCATCCCTTCATCCAACAGTATTAGACAATTTTAATCCTAAGGAGCTGGTCAGTTTGCATCTCCAGAAGGCTGTAGAGGAAGCAGATTATCTGGACCCTTTTCAGTCAGAATTCAGTTTGAGATACAATACTGGGGTGGTATTAATTGCACTTGTAGATGACCTGGGTTAGGACCAAGGTGGTGATAGTGCATCCATCCTAGCCCTTCTTGACCTCTCAGCAGCCTTCAGTATCATCAATCATGGTATCCTTCTGGACCAGCTCTGAGTGTTGGGAGTGGGAGGCATGGTGTTGCAGTGGTTCTCTTTCCCCTGGAGTTGGTGAGGAGGAAATCTAGCCTAGACCCTGCTTCGTGGAGTTCTTCAGGGCTTTACACTCTCTCTGCTTCTATTTAACATCTACATGAAGCTGCTGGGTGAGATCATCTGCCAGCAAAGGATCAGGTATCATCACTATGCTGATGATATTCAATTATATATCTTGGGGTCCCTCCTCCATTTTTGGGACTTTCTATCTCTAGTTCTGAATGGGGTGGCATTCTGTGCTCTGGTATGAAAGAGAACATGCCTTGACTGTCTTCAATGTGATATCCTTTCAGATATTTGAAGAGGACTATCGTGTCCCCCTTTACTCATATTTTTTCAAGGCCAAACATACCCAAGTCCCTCAATGTCCTTTCATTGGTCTTAGTTTCTAGTGTCCTGGTCATCTTTGTTGCTGAAATTTAGCTTCATTTCAGCATATGATTGCCGAAATAAGTTACTTTGTAGTGTCCTAAACAAACACAAATATATATTAGATATATATGTCAAAATACAATGGGAAAAAGCAGATTACACTGTCGTGTTTCAAGGAATTTATTTAATATATTATTGGGTATGAGAATGCTAAAGAGAGAAAGAAAAAGTTAATCTTTTTCAAAGAGTTTCTATACTGTTATCATATCATTATGTTTCCAAAAGTCTTATTGCTGATTGAAAAGTAGGTTATCTGATCAGCTATATGCATCTTACCAACTCAGCATGACATTTTTTGTCATGCAGCTTCATCAGCTGGATAGCAGGGTATCACAGTGTATAATTTTAAGCTGAACAAGTGATTGGTATTACAGTGACAATAATTCTGTTGTAACAGGCTGATAGCTTCCAGGGTTTGGAATTCAGAAATACCATTTTTAGTGTTCAGTGGACAAGGATACTTTCTAAATCATCATCAATCTTCATCATCACCATCACGTGGGGCAAAACTTTAGTTATCAAAAGCTCCACTTTCAAGGATTCTTAGACTGACTTTATACAGAAGAAGCACTGGCATATGGCTGAAGTAGTGCTACCTGTATATTACCATAAATCTGTGATGTCACCTGTATATTATCATGAATAAGGTTGGGCTCAGGAGACACAAGTTCAGTTCCCCACATAGCCATGAGGCTTATTTGGGACAATCAATCTCTCCACTTAATTGTTCTTCCAGGTCAGCTGTAAAAATGATATGTAATAATGATTGAAAGTGCTTAGAAAAAAGGACAAATAATACAGTAACTCATAATAATGCAGCTGTTCACATGGACCAGAATTGGAAGAGCTGTTCTAGCTGTTGTATTTGGAATAATAATAAAAATGTCATCAACAACAGTATATGCCATATCATAATCTGCTTCTGAAAACTCCCCTGAATTCTGGAAGTCTGTGATGTGCTATGTGTGATATAAGTCCAAAGCTCCTCTTTGGAACTGATTGCCTTGGTCTTAGCTTTTAATCAAAGAACACCAAAACAAACAAACAAATTCAGGCTAGTAGTTGCTCTTTTTTATATTCTCCTAGTATTTTAGTGCTGAGTAGCAAAGAACAGCAAATATGAGAAGCTGCTTTTTTCATAGAGGACAAAAAAGAGAATATTTATTTTGTAGAAGAAATCAGAGCATTTAGCAATGTTGACTTGAAAAGTTTGGAAATGCATATCCATCCCTTGTTATACGATTATCCCAAATATTATATTGCCAACATTTAATCTGTAAAAACAAATTATTTCAAATCTCTGTCTATGGCTATGTTATGATATATAGATAGTGATGATGTAAACTTGCAGTAGTAATTTATTCTAAGCTTAGTATATTAAAATATGTTTATTTGTGGAAGGGCAACTTTTAATAGAAAGGTAGTTCAATCTGAAATTATCTCCAGCTATAATTCATTAAGCTTTTGTTTAAATTCTCATTCCATCTAAACAAGGTGTGTTTTTATTTTATTTGACCAGGAGTTAAATAGCTTTAATTACTTGGACCTCTATAAACTTGCTGATCTCTTCAATCTAAATCTGCTGGAGAAAGCGGTGGTTGACTTTTTAGTGAAACATCTCTCAGAACTACTAAATAACCACCCTGACGAAGTCCTGGCGCTGCCATATTGTCTCATCCAAGAGGTTTTGAAGAGTGATCAACTCACATCACTCAGTGAAGAACAAATCTGGCAGGTAATGTACAAACAGTGGTTAAATTGCTGAAAGACCAGTACTGTATATCCATAACTAGTGAACTAGTTTATTGATTGATTAGTCTTACAACCATATCAAAGAAAATAAAATAAAGGTAAAACCCAGGGTCTGTTTCCAGGATAAAATAGGTAAAAGAATAGTGAAACACATAAACGTTCAATACAAAGAACATATACTAAATATCCATACGCATTTCAGAAAATAAAATTATTACAGTAAATGACAAGAAACAATAGAATAAAAATATTACTGTGCACTGAGGAAGCCCTAAGGGGCATTCTGAAGTCTGCTTCACCCCTTTGACGAGAATGCAGGTAGAGCTGTACTGTTTCAGAAAATGGGAAAGCAGAGGGGTTTGATAATGGCCCAACATACTGAAGGCCACCATATGCCAAGAAAGGACTGTAACATAGAGCAGGGGTTAACAAATACAGCTAATTGGTTGGGAGAGTGTATTCTCCTCTTTTGCTAAATAGCTTGTATCTTTACTTTCTTAAGATAAGAGGCTCTTGGTATTCAATGCAATCTTCTTTACAGCTAGAAAAATATGCAGGGATGAGCTGAAATATGCTTTGTCAAAATCAAAAATATATATTCAGTTCATTTCTCTTACATTTAGTAATATTAGTGTGGGTATAACTATCAGTAGCAGTTTCCTTGAAGGACAAGATATACATCCCTAATAATTAATTAGATGAAGTTGATATCAGAAGAATTGGCTGATAAATTGGCACGTTGACATGATCCCTTAAACCCCATAGCTGTCACACTTTCTGTCAGTGGAGATTGTCTGGAGTGTCCAAATTTCTGAACTGGGCTAAAATATAAATAGGCTCTGTCTGACTAAATTGGATTTCTTAATAAGAAATCTTTGTTGTGTTTAAGTAATAGGGCTTTGCGGGGCTCCAAATTCAAAGTAAAAAAGATGCTTTGGAGTGTAGGGGAATATGCACATAACACCTCTCTGCAGTTCTTCAAACTAAACACATTGTTTTCCTGGGATTGTGCTAAAGTTGGGGAGGCCAGTGGCATGGTCCTGGGGGAAAGGAGCAGCTTCTTTAAGAAGTTGCAGGCAGGTGCTATGCATAAGTGACCCATGCACTCTGAGGCACTGTTTTACCTTTGCATCTGTAGTGTTATACAGTGCTGTTATGTAGTACATTCCTATCAGTATCTCTACACAGTGCCCTGGAAGCATCTTAAGCAGAAGGAGGGACTTCTTATGAATAGTGGACTCTGGCTGGAGATCTGCTTGCAGCAGAGGCTTGGGGTTTAATGTCATAGTTTTGAAGCTATTCAACAGTGCAAAATGTCTCCTTCTTCTGCTCCTTAGAGCATGAGCACAAAATTCACACCTCCAGGAAAAAAAATGAGTTTACCATGTTCCAATGAGGGAAATGCAAGCATGGAATTGTCAGAAAATATGCCTTGGTTCTTGTACTAAAATGCAAAGAAAGGCTTATTTGGGGGTTACCCATTCCCCAGTTGATGAAGCATTATGAGAACCTGGACTGTTTTTTTCCCCACATGCTGCATGGTTAACACAGCTATTTTGCTTTTGTGCTGTTCTGCTGCTGTCACACTTGCTGTTACGAATAGTTCCTTCAGCTATGGCAAAAGTGCTGCTTTCTGAGTGACAGGAAACCCTGCACTGGCCATTCTAGGTGTTATCATAATTGCTCCTCTAATGGTTACTAATGCCATTACCTAGAATCTTTAAGCTATTTGACTGCTATGGGCAAAATGAATGAAACCAGAATCTCATTCTTGGACCTCTAGAATGAATTAAGACACACATAAATATTTGCCAATTTAAGCTTTGAATGGGCAATAAGTAACTGTTTTTGCTTTATCTTAGTAAATAAGTAATTCCCTCACAGTCAACCCAATACATGAAAATCAAATCAGGGCTGCTCTGTTGCCTCAAGTGTAGTTAAGTTCATCATTTTTGCTAAGGTTATACTGGTAATGCAATATACCATGGAAGAATCTAATATTCAGCCCAGGGTGAAGATTGGGTATGCCAGAGGATTAGTGTCAGGGTGCTTTAGAGAAGTGAAACTTGATATACAGGCTGGAGCCAGAGCTACAGAATCTCATTAAATTGCTGAATTGTTCATTACTGAGCACTCTCCCTTTAATAAAGTGCTCATTGACTTTGACAAATCCCCATCCTGTGTCTTAAAGGACAACAACAGGGTAAGAGGCACTGGAGAGGGAGGAGGCTATTGGCCCCAAGTTTGGGTGGGGGCATTGGTAGAAAAGCAGTAGAAAAGCTGGTGAAGAATGCCACTCTCGGGGTTACTTCCATGTGTTAAATCGGTGAGATGTTGGTAAAAGCCAGCTGCAGCCATGTTGTGTATGCACATGCATGAACAGGAAGAACTCTGATTTAGTATTCCCCCGCAAGGCATCATCCACTAGTTGAGCTTCCAATAAGCATCGACCACAAATTTAATGGTGTCTCTGCGCTTTCCTTTTCCCAAGGGCAGGGTGCTTGGAGTGGATAGCAATATTGCCTAGGCATAAATAATTCCTACACTGTGTCACTGAAATGATTACTCATATTCAGTATACAGGCTGAACAAGTTAGAAGAAAAATATTTATCTTGGATATCGGTGAGGCCTGGCTATAGACAGATGTGTTTGTGACTAACATGGAGTTGTGGGCACATGATCCTTGTGAAGATAGTTTCATAGTTCCTTGTTTGCCAGGGAATGTCCCCTATCTGTGATAGCCAATAAATAAGTGCTAAGGTTTAAAAACTTGGTAAATGTTGAAATAATGTATTTTTAAAACATACTATGGGTAGAATTTGAACGTAAGAAAACGTTATGATGTCTGCATTAGCATACTAGAATTCTTATATGGTACTGGTTTTGTTTCTGATGAAAACACAAATGCCTTGTTTTCAAAACTATCACAGGACAACAGTGGGACTAGTATCACCTTGTAGGCTATGACCCAGTGACTTTTTATGAAGATATGTTAGGACTCACTAAGTTAATATTTAACATCACATTTAGTTAGAGAACAAGATGTAGAAAATCACATGTTAGCTCTTTATTCTACATTAATTTTCAAAGTCTTGTTCAGGAAATAAGGTAACTTAGGAGGAAAACAACAACCTTAAGAGAAATTGCAACATTGCAACACTTATGGGAGCTGTAACAAGGATTGTTTGCTGCAAAAGCCTCAGGACAGACAAGGACTGATGAGTATCAACTCTGTACTCTAGATGTTTGGGAATTCTGGGTAATTCTAGAATAGAATATTGTTATTAGGTTTTTTATCCTGCCTTTTTTTAAATATATATTTTGTTCAACTGAGAAGTATGGCTTTATACTATATTCACAGAAGTTGAGGTGGCAAAAATAGTTCCTCTTATGGTTTCATGCTCTGAGGCTTGTATGATGTGGTTTTAAAAAGGAGAGAACAATTCTCACAATTCAACAGCCATACTCTAGAGACTATCCTAGATGAGATAAGCCTGCTCTGGGCGCAAGATGGTTCTTCCCCATCCACCCCCATTTCTCTGTTGGAAATATGCCTTGTTGGAGTATGCTGTACTCTTCACAGTTCTTGACTTGTTGATATTACAGTCTTCCTTCAAAATGAATAGAAAATATACCATCACCAGTTAGGAAGAGAGTGAAATGCTAATAGGAGGAGGTAATAGCACAACAAGCAAACAAGACTGAATGACTGAAGCAGTGCAGTACAGTAATTTGTGGGAAGACAGCAGTGCAAAACATGAAGCCGTTCTGCGTGGGTGTTTCAGGATTATAGGAGTTATAGTCCAAAATACCTGGAGGATCCTAGATAGTTTATTCCTTGCTTTATTGAATAAACAGTCGTGTGAAAAAGAAAGTACACCCTCTTTGAGTTCTGTGGTTTTACATATCAGGACATAATAAAAATAATCTGATCCTTAGTAG